ATCGTTAAATATTTTCTCAAAGATATTTATTGATCAAAACTCATTCTTCTAAATAATCAGTAATTAGACAATGGAACCAATTCTAATAGAATAGATTTCTTTCTCGAATAAACAATGAAGTAACTAGAAAAAAATATTGAAAGATAAGAAAAAGCAAAGAATAAACCTTTTCTCGAGTCTCTGGTTATCATTATGAAAAATGAATTTCATTTTCCAGATAATCATCTGGCAAATGAATTCTAAAAGTGACTTTCTATTGACATTGTCTGAATCTAAGTGATTTCCATTATTAAAAAATCTCTTGACAATCTTTGATGAGAATTGAGATCGAACATTGAAATAAAATGATAGTTTCCAAGATGGATGGGTGTGGGTGTGGGTGTGGATGTGGGCAGGTGTAGGTGTGGGTGTGAGTGAAACAAGTAAAACACACCCACACCTCACACCCGCCCCACCCCAAACCTACACCCACATCCCACCCCACACCCACACCTCACACCCATACCCACACCCTCCAATCCATATCATACGACATTTATAAAACTATTTATGTTCTATCTTGTTCCAAGAGATAGGAAGTTTCCAATCCATATTATGCGATGTTTATCAAACTAATTACGTTCTATCTTGTTCTAACAGATGGGAAGTTCCCATCTCATATCATACGACATGTATCAAACTAATGACGTTCCATCTTGTTCCAAGAGATAGGAAGTTCCCATATCATATCATACGACATGTATCAAAATATTTACGCTCTATCTTGTTCCAAGAGATAGGAAGTTTCCAACTCATATTATGCGACATTTATCAAACTAATGACGTTCCATCTTGTTCCAAGAGATAGGAAGTTTCCAACTCATATTATGCGACATTTATCAAACTAATGACGTTCCATCTTGTTCCAAGAGATAGGAAGTTTCCAACTCATATTATGCGGCGTTTATCAAACTAATGACGTTCTATCTTGTTCCAAGAGATAGGAAGTTTCCGACTGATATTATACGACGTTTATCAAAGTATTTATAAGCAATAGCATTGACAGTGTTTTCGACGCATAAACTGAGTACGTAAAACCTTATTCTAATAACAAATCTACAATGAAATTTATCTTCATAATATTACTGATCGTCTTTCTCTTGGCAACCACCATGATTAGTGAGTAGATCAACACAGATATAACCATGATGTATTTTTACTTGAAAAATATTTAGAACAAAAAGTCGATGCTCAATGTCCGTTTCATCCAAACTCATGCTCATGTCCGGATGGTACCACATATAAGCGTTGCACTGGTGCTGTCTGTCAAAGGTGTGTATGCGGTACCGGTTCAGATCCCGGTCCATGTATGCTTGGTAATGGTGGTGGTGCGATTTGGGCTGCTTTGGGCAGTATATTCGGAATTGGCAAAAAGAAATGATTATGTATCGATGTTGATTTAAACAACATTTTTTTCTTTTTTAAGCTGATCTTAATACTTATCTATACCTATGATACTCTTTTTTTCTCATCTACTACTGACTTTATGCTTTTTTCAGTGTAATATGTAAGAATTTATTTATTAATAAAGAACTGCATGAGAATGTTCTACAAGTACAGAAAATCAATAGATATTTGGAGAAATATTCACTCGTGGTGAGATATAGCCTAGCATTAATATGATATTATTGACGTTTTCAAATAGATTCGTATTGGTCTTTTCATTAAATGTTGATAAGCTTTCGATAAATTAATTAGTGAATCAAATAATAAGTGATCCTGATGATAGTGATACAATTACTTTCTTGCATGTAATTATTCTTCGAATGTGAGTCACGTGTTCTTATTATTAAACTGACATATTGCGATTATAAATTTCTACTCAGAGAATGAAACAAATAAAAAGATTTTGATTGGTATTCGATTCCATTTGATTCATGTGGAAAAAAAGAACAATTTCTTCCATTGTCATAAGTAAAATGTATCTACATTCCATATAAAAATTGCTTTGACTCTTCTATATGTCTTAATGCTAAAGCTATCGTTAATTTGAAGTGAAAGATGACAGTAGAAAGGTTGTATTATTAATAGCGATGAAGAAAGAGAGTAAAATCATTCTTATTATACATTTTAAAATTTTATACAGATGGTATGATAGTCTTTATAAAAACATCCTTTCTCCATTTCTCATCCAGTTCATAAATAAGTCAAAATGATATCTATCTTTATTTATTCCAATTTTTGTTTATAATAAAAAGAGTTAACATGTGATATTTATATGATAACGAGATATTATTATCAAATAGAGAATTCGTTGTTGCTATCAAAAGGAGAGAAGAAACAATAAGATAGAGTTTTATTTCACTGTTTTTTGTTTTACACTTGAAAATGACTTCGACAAGGATGCTCTTACTAATACTTTTAGTACAAGTTTTATTTATTTCATTGAGTAGTTCAATAACCTAACAACATTTCCCAACATTATGGTCTGCAGCTTCTTCTTCAATTTCTAATTGTCTTTTAATCAATAGTTGTTCATTATCACAAACAATGAATAATTCTTCCTGTCAATTTTAATTGATTCTTGATTGTATTTGGATAAACTTGGTTAGTACAAGATTTTAATTGAAACAACAATACCTTATGTGAGATTTTGTTCAGTATCATTATCACAGGAAGGCAATATTCTCTATTGGTGTTACTGCACATGTGAGTTGACAATTTCATACAAATTAATTAATGGGTGGGGCAAAAGTTTTGCATTAATTTTCTTTGCCATTTTATCAAGGGGAAAACAGCAGAATTTTGGACTTGAAGTTACTTTGAGCTACTTTAAGCTACTTCAAGTTACTTTCAGCTACTTGAAGTAGCTTACTTTGAAGTACTTTTTAACTTCAAATTTATTTGAAGTTACTTGAAGTTACTTTAAGCTACTTGTTCCTACTTTGAGCTACTTGAGCGGTACTTTAAACCACTTCAAGTAGCCTACTTTGCCGTACTTTAGCATACTTTTCTACTGCAAGTACGCTGTTTCCCCCTTGCATTTTATACCTTGTAGGAACATCCTAGAATGTTCAAACTTTTTTTGTTAGAGAGACATGAGTAGTAGTATATATACATATATTGTCTCAATTATAACACGTGTGTTCTGTTCGAGATGAAGAAGGACGAACGAGAAACACTAAAATTACGTCTTGGAACTTTTTATAATCTCTCATAGATAAAGACAAGTATCTTTTTCTAATTCATTTTGTTATCACCTGATACGCTTCATTAAAAGAAAAATAAAGTATACCGCAAGATGCAGCGTGAAAAGTTCTACAATTTACTAAGATCAGCTTCTCTTTTATATATACTCTTTCTTTTCAAAATGGACAAAATTCTGTGTGGCTAATTTTTGACGCTGTGAACAAGATCAGTTTTTGGTATACGACGAATCCCTTTTCTTATTTCCTCAGTTAATGAATCATTGTTTTAAACTTTATTCGATTGCATATTATTGGAATTGAGACATATATCGATTGCTCTAAATTCGGCCATCAATTGTGGCCTTAGATATAATACGCTAACCGAAGCAATAAGAAAAAGAATTTATCGTGTACCAAAACTGATCTTGTTCACAGCATGAAAAATTAGCCACACAGAGTTTTGTCAATTTTGGAAAGAAAATGTGCATATATAAGATAAATTGGTCTTTGTAAGTTGTAGAGCTTTTCACGCTGCATCTTGTGGTATATTTTAGTGGTCAATACAACGTATTAATGGATTGAATACTGCAATGCAGATCTTACTAGAGCACAAATGACAACAAAAATAAAGTCTTATCGAAAATTTATTATCATTATATTAGTTGAACTATGATCAAATAGCATAGAAAAATAGAACATTCTTTTCTCTATCAGACCATATAGAAAAAAAGTTTCTTAAAGCTTACTATATGGTAAGCAACCCCAAGACACGAACTTTTGGTACGCCCTAAGTATATATCTTTTATTTTATAAGTTCCAACTAAGCACAGCAGATAATAAAAACGACACACTTATAAATGAGGTCTAAAAAAAGGAGAAGAATTTGTCTGTCTGTTGTCATATTCCATCTGTTTATCCACATCGATTGGCCTTTGGTTCCCAATGATCATCAATAAAACATTCACAGGCCAGATTCAATAGACCTGCACAACGACCACCAAGACCACCAAATCTGCTGACACAATTCCGATTGCATTTTTCAGTATCGGGACAACCACAGCTACGACTTCTTTTCCCCAAAAAACCTTCACTTTTTCCTTCAAATAAAATTTAAAAAAAAAACGATGCAAAATTAATAGAATAGAAGCTAAGTATAAGCTACTTTACATACCAATCTGGATAAGAAGAATCATTGTGACGAGTAAAATACCAAATAGAATGGTTGTCTTACTGTTAAAAGACATCTTTGTTTTGTATTCTAATTTCTCTTATTGATATGTTCTGAAAATTTTATGATTATATCTAAGATGTTTCTCGCATCATTTTATACTTATCATACTTCCACTTTTTCCCTGTATATATTGGTATTTTCCTACTATTCCACTTCCTTTTTCGCCTAAATCAAGCTATATGTTAGTGATGATGGATATTGTTTTTATTACTTCCTCGATTTCTTCTCCTGTTCTTGTTTCTGCTGATGTTACTCTTTCCGATGTGTTTTGATCGTTATTGATAATGTCTTTAAGGAAGAGGAAGAAGAAAAAAGGAAGTAAAGATAATAGCTCGTCTAGAAGAGCGTGGTAGTATTAGTTGACATGCAAGATATGATGAAAGAAAAGAAATTATTGTTAGAATTAGTAGGTTATTTGATCAGATTTTTCCAAGTTCAAAATTCCGAACGTACAAATCTACTTAGCTGTTCGATATGAACCATATAATTTCTCAATCCATACTGAAGATAAGACTATCTGTTTTTTTTTAAACAGAGTTTACTAGGTGGTAAAACAAAACTACCACTATCGCGATCTCATCCCGGCTAAGAAAATCATGACTCGATCTCTAAGGACAATGGATTGACATGTATCATTTACTAAAATATCAATGTTCAACTTTTAGCATTGTTGTCTTTCGACTCGGAAGGAGTACTTTTCACCATTTTCATTTATTGCAAAAACAATGTGAGAAAAATGTTGAAAAGTTTTAACAGTGTTCGGTTCATTTTAGTGTTTCATCAAGTAGATGGTGTTGTTGAGCGTGATGGATGACTAAGATCAACGCACCAAGTCAGACT